AAACAATCCGCAATATTAGTGAAATGAATCTTTATAATTGTACTAAATTCGATTCATATATTAATATTATATTGTTCATAATTTACAAATGTATAAACAAGCAAAGTCTCACATACGCAAACGCAACATACTCTAATATGCTAATATAATCCAAGCATTATTATAATTAGAAATGAGTATATAAACTATAATTTTCTTTTGAGAAAAAAATTTTTAAAAAATAATCTTGTGAGGAATATTAATGAATCGCTAGAGTAACGGCAGCGGGCACTCTGAGTCGATAAACCCGAACTATGAACACACTTCAAACCCCATTATTCACTATCCAAATCCGCTAAAATCAGATCGATTGATCGATACCCTCCAGATCCAGGGTAAAATTGTCAGTTCCCTAATGGAAGCGGTCGAGAGGGATATCTACAAATTTTAACTACCTAATCCTCTTTAAAAATTTTTACAGACAACCATTGACCCATTTAAATGCTCATAAACGCTAGTTCTAAAACCGTTTAGAATTTTACTATCGCACTTATTTCCAAATCCGTTTAAAATACTTTTTAAATAAATTGGATATTCGCTAATATCTAAAACCCTAACTTTTTTGTCTTAAAGATAAGGGTAACTGAATAATCCATATACATCAAAACCTGTTTAATATATAACATTACATCAATGGTACTCAAAAATACTCAAATAAAAGTCTTTCATCTGGCAACCCACATAATAATTTATATACAAGGCATCCATCCTACAATCATCTACAACTTTTTTTTCCAAAATTATCCAGATTTTGCAAGTGTAGTTTATGAAAATAAACGAGCCCAAATGACATTATTTCGTCTATTTGTTGTAATATTGAAAAATGAGTAAACCTATTTAAAGTTTTTATCCATAAAACTATAAAAATATCTAACAATAATTAGATTTATAATTTAAACATTTATTCTTTTTAAATATTTTGAATAAGAATAAAAAAAATGTAATATAAAACGTTGCGCGATGGCCAGTAGGATGCGAGGGTTGCACATGAGAATCCGCTGCCGACGGTGACCTCTGGGCGTCTCGGTGTATATATCTTGGTCTGGGTAAGTGAACGACCCGAAAATTTAATTTCGTAGCTTCTTAGAATGTTTCATATTTACAAAACTAAATTTTTATTTCAACCAGATTGAGGAGTTTAATACTGTGCTTATATTGGATTATTACTAAACTGTGGGACCGTAACCAAATCTTCGATTTTTCGAAACCAAAAGCAAAAACAAACCAAGCGAAAAACTCGAAAACCAAGCAAATCGAGCCAAATCATTAAATTAGACCAAACCGGTTCGAATCGAACCGGAATGGTCTAGAAGCTACAGATTTTTTTTTCCTTTCTTTTCTTTTTCTTTTCTTCTTCTTCTTCGTTCCAGCGTCAACCTCACCTGGCCCTCTCCTCCTCCCGTTTTTTTTCGATCACCGGAGACCAGCGCCACGCCATGCTGTCGCCTCCACGCCGCAGCGGATTCCGGCCTCCCTTCCCCTCTCCTCTTTCGTTTCTGGCGCACGCAGAAGGCGCAGGAGAGCCGCGACCTCCTTCGATCGGGAAACCGCGTCGAGTCTCCTGCTCCTCGACTTTCTGGCGACACCAGCTGGCGACACCAGGCTCATCACAGGCCCTCTCCTCACATCTAGCATTCCCAAGCCAATCACCCTATTCATTCCACCAATGTATTAGCATCGGAACTAGTGGATTGGCTTTATTGAACAAAGAGCCAGCTGCCGATTGTATCTAACCAGAGAAATTTCGATAGTTCCAGGGTGTTGTGTATTGCAGACTGAGCACTAGGTAAGTCATAATTTCACAACCTTCATCAATGTTATATGAGCTGCCTTGATCAAAGATGAAAGGTTGTTGAATCGCATGACTCAAATAACTTATGTGCATAATTTAGACTTTAAGCTCCCTCATTTGACAACATTTGAAAAAAAAATTGATTCTCTTAGTTTAGTTTAATTAAGTTAAGCCAAATTAGAGTGGATAAGTTAGCATGTATACAGTAGCGGGATTTTAGTTTAAGAATAATATAGCGTGATTATGACAGCGAACCATTGTCACCAATGGCTTGAGCGATCGCAGGAAAATTTATATATTCTAGTACTATTTAGGTGCAGAATGTGATTAGGAATTTCGAATTTTTGCTCTTTAAATTGGTATATAAACTGATTCGTATATTGGGATGGTTAGGGTATTGCATCTATTATAAATCTTTATGAAGGATTTAGGGTTCTTTAGGTTGAAAATAACTAATTAGCTATATGCTCAAGTTCTTAATATCCTATGAAGAAATTATTGAACTATTTCCATTTTGAATGAGTTATAAATTGAATTTTAATAAGTTATGTGCAAACCAGTGGATATATTTGGGGGTATTAAATAGAAAATTTTGAATTCCATGAGCTAGCAGTAGTTAATTAGTTGGTTCTTTGAATTATAATGTTTGGGATGGGTATTTGAAGTTGTAAATGAAGTTCTTGTAGGGTAGTGAGTTAGCTAGTGTGTAAAATTAGCTAGTGTGTAAAATATGAAAATAACTTTTGGATTTGGCAGCAGTTATTTCAGTTTATTTTTGTAAGTAATTTTCAGCTTTCTTCTTCATGCTATGTGATTTCTTGCGACTAGATTAAAGAATTTGAGCTTGGATGGTAGTTGTGATGGAGTTAGGGATCTTAAATACTGTTTATGCGAGATTATTGAAATAAATTCCCAAAATTTATGCTGCCATTGATATGATTGATTAAATATATAATAATATTGTCGACTAATTTGATGCAGGTAGAAGCCAATTTTAATTAGGGGAAGATGGTTGCTGGAAATTTCATAACGAACTTTAGACTAGTTTAATAAGATAACGATAAATAATAAGTGTTATTTAGATTAATTCTGAATAACTAAATTACATTAATAAATAAAGTGCTCTTAATATTTTATTATCATCGATTATATTAATTATTCAATTCACTTATGTTATTTCATATTATTGTTATATAATTGATTATTTATTATTTATTCTTATCGTTGCTGGTTTATTTTTAATATTATTATTTATTTGTTTGCCATTGAAGTAATGAATTCTGAATCCGTGCATTTGCATTCCGATATGGTAACGATCACATATGTTTGCATTTAATTGCAATGTTTGATTAATTGTGTGTGTGATAATGCTATCTTTTGAGTTGAGTGATGAAGTGGGTCACCAGTGGGTTTGTGAGACCGTTTACCATTATATGCCGATCCTGATACCGTTACCGTATATACCGTACCGTTTTATATGATCCTACGATTACCGTTAGCCAGGTAAAGGGAGATCGCGCAGCCCCCGGCTGATTAGCACCTACCGTTACCTGTTACCGTTAACCACAGGTTGTCTTCTCAGTCGCCTTCGGCAGCTGGACAGGTCTAGATTTGATCGCAGCCCGCAGGGTGGCCTCCTGTTGTGAGCGTCTGATGATCTAGATTGGATGGAGACCACCGGGTTGCCTCCTGTTGGTATAATAAAAGATAAAAAAAATAAAAAAAAAGAAAAAAGGAAAAGAGAGAATGGAAAAACAATGAGAGGGCTGGTCAAGTGAGGATTAGACCGGTCGGCCAGTATGTGGGATCGGCTCCCTGGTGCACATGTGATAGGATGAGCCATGTGGGAGGACGGCTCATCGGGGGTTCGGTGACTCCACTGACCAATTTCCACGTGATGTGATTATATGAAGATGTTAATGATTGTATGATTGTGAGTGCTGGTGATGTGCGCCCATTGTGTGACTGACTGCGTGAGCATATTAACTAGTCGGATGACTAGATTTTGATATGTTTACCACATTTGTGCTGACTGCTGTGATTGGTGCAATTAATTATTTATTCTAGAATAACATCACATGTTCTTGTTTTGATTTTTTTCATGTCTTGTTTGATTTTTTCAGGAAGTAGGTTTTTCCTTTAATCCGATTTAGGCTATGTTTCTTCGGCGCAGGGCAATAGAGAAATTTTTCCTAATTCCATAATTATTTTGCTATGTAATTATGTGTATAAAAGCTATGTATACTAAAGAGTTAGTGGCTCCGCAGTTGTAGAATTTACATATATTTAGTCATGTATTAATATAGCCAAAACAATTCTGTAAGCCTATATTAGAAATGTGATGTATTGTGAATTGGGCCCGAACTATGAAATGTTCTAGAAGATAAACTTGGGCCGAGAAATAATAAAATCTTGAGGTTTATTTTTCATAATCATATGGACTGGATGTTAAAATTCTATTAAGATAGTAAATTTCTAGTATTTCAGGCTTACTACGGGCTTCGGGGGCCTTAAGCTTACCTGGGCCTTAGTGCCGGTCCGGCCTACGGAAACGGGTCGTGACAGGTGGTGGCCAGTGATAGTAGTCTGTGGTGGAATCAGTGATAAATGGTGATTAGTGTTAGTGACTATGATGATTAATAAATTAAAAAATATGGATTTATAAAGTTTACCGATGTCCGAAAAATATTTTGTTCGCTCAAAAATGAAAAGTTATTTTCCTTAAAAAATGACTTAATTTAAAAATGACTAATTTAATATACTATTGATCAAGAAAAATATTTTTTATTGATTTTATTTTCTTAAATATCCTAAACGAATTGAAAAAAATAAAAATATGGATTTATAAAGTTTACCGATGTCCGAAAAATATTTTGTTCGCTCAAAAATGAAAAGTTATTTTCCTTAAAAAATGACTTAATTTTTCTTTGATCAAGAAAATATTTTTTATTGATTTATTTTTTAAATATCCTAAACAATTGAAAAATTGTGAAAAATATTTATATACAGATTATTTTACAGAAATAAATAGGTCTGAACGCCTCATCCACTTCCGTCTTAGTTGGCCTCCTGATCTAAACATCATTGGGTCCCAAGTTAAACATTTAAAAATGGATAAACTGACAACGAATCCTCGGTCCTATTCCACATACAAATACAAAAGTTAAACAAACATGAAACACGCGCCACCTACACTTGCTGCGACCCACACATGTCTGTCAACCATCGTCATTGTCAACACTAATCTTCTATTTTTAGTAATATCCCAATCCCAACTCACTATACGCCCCGACCGTTTCAAACCCAGAAAAAACCATTTCCATCTCCAGTCACCTCTCTCTTTCAAAACTTTCTAATTGCCTATTACCTGTGTGATAATTTGCCTAAAAGAAACCAGTCTCTTTAAACTGTAAATATCACTATGACTTCAAGGGAGGAAGGTGACGATGGACTTAGGAAACCGTTCCTTCATACGGGTAGTTGGTATAAAATGGGCTCGAGGCAATCCAGCATCATGGGCTCCTCCACCCAGATCCGCGATGGTGCGGTTTCTGTCGTCCTCTGTGTCCTCATCGTCGCTTTGGGCCCTATCCAATTTGGTTTTACCGTAAGATATCGGCACTCTTTAATTTTCATTATTCCCATTTTAATATCAGTTGGATTGATTCTGAATTTTTTGTATTTCGTATTATAGTGTGGATATTCTTCGCCTACGCAAGCAGAGATCATCAAAGATCTTAAACTCTCTATTTCAGAGGTTAGACTAATTGGATTTTTATTCTGATTTTGAATCGCTCAATGGTTTTGTTCTTTCTGGCTTAAATTTGACTTTATTGTTTGTGTAGTTTTCTCTGTTTGGCTCTTTATCGAATGTTGGTGCTATGGTTGGAGCTATTGCTAGTGGTCAGATTGCAGAGTATATGGGCCGAAAAGGGGTATAATATCATTATATGGTCATTTCTAATAATGATGGTGGTAGTTTTAGTTATTTTCATAATTTGAAGGAGTGGAATAACAAATCATAGACGTGAAAGAAATGGGTGCATGTTTTTGTTTAACCAATGGATTGCCACATTTTTCTTTTATTTCAAATTGCAGTCTCTGATGATTGCTGCGATTCCTAATGTAATTGGATGGTTAAGCATATCGTTTGCCAAAGTAAGTGATGAATTGATTCTTGTGGACTTGTTTGTTTGTCTGTGTTTCTTGTTTGGGCGTGCCACTGAGTAATTTCTACTGCTTTGTAGGATTCCTCATTTTTATTCTTGGGAAGGTTGTTGGAAGGGTTTGGTGTTGGTATAATCTCGTACACGGTAAGCGTACCTTCAGCATATTATATATTTTCCCTTGTAGCATTCCATAGATGTGTAATGGCCTTGCTCTAAACTGGCTCCAACTAACTTCTTATTTTAGAGCACAACCACGGCCCAAAATGGAGTTAGTTGGATAGTAACTAGTTAGGCTGTATAATTCATTTAAACTTCTTATTAACTGCACCTGTATAAATCATTTAAACTTCTTATTAACTGGTGTGGTATAGGTTTCTAAGGTGCTCAAGCTAGCACCTCAAATGGTGCAGGTGTTACAAGATGAATGGTATTATTGGAATTAGATTCTTAAAAAATTATTGGGATTCATTTCTTCTAGGTACCAGTATATATAGCTGAGATATCGCCTCAGAACATGAGAGGAAGCCTTGGATCTGTTAACCAGGTTAGTTCTGCTTACTGAATAAGTTAATTAAATTTATGCTTATAAATTTCAGCTCACGATTATTTAGTGCCATTACTTGACAGATTAATTGAGTTAATTTCTTTATTGAATAGCTTTCAGTTACTCTTGGAATAATGTTGGCTTATCTATTAGGACTTTTTATGCACTGGAGGCTGCTTGCAGTGTTAGGTAAGCTCCTAAGAAATCCCTATTCGGCCTTGTATTGCTGCAGACAAAAAGTCAAATGATATTTGGATAAACATTGTTTATGGTTCACATTTGAGCAATAGTGATTATTGATGTTGGCCAGTGAAGTTTGTGTGTAGGAAAGGAAATTACATGTTTCTAACCTTCTTCAAATGAAAAAAGCCTTATCAGACCAAAGAAAAAAAATGGAAAAGAATCACTTTTAAAATAAACAAGTTCCTATTGTTTTCTTGATGCAGTACATTGTCCTATTGACTTATGCAAGTTTTGGAAACTTCCTTTCCATATTCATCAACTCAACTGAATATTTGCCATTGGTTCAATAATTTGATTAATGGATGGGTTTAATTGATGTATACACTTTGATTTGCAGGAATTTTGCCCTGCACAATATTAATACCTGGCCTCTTTTTCATTCCAGAGTCTCCTCGATGGCTGGTTAGTTCATGTAATTAATGTTGTTGCATTTTCATATGGCCAATAGAAAAAACAAAATCCTAACATTTAAGTGAATTTTCAATTTTGTACTATTCTATTAATTTTATCAGCCTGACCTAATTTTGAGAAATTGATTTCCAGTTTGTCATCTGCTCATAATTGAATCCAAGAAAAAGGGGACCTAGTTATTTATTAGAATATAAAAGTAAATTTTAATAATCTTTTTCCTTTCCCCTCTACCTTACTTCTCTCTCTCATTCCTATCTCGAGTGAATTTTCTTTAAAAACTCAACAAGGCTAAAATTGAGTGGTCATAGATGACATCTAATTTGACATGCCAAAGTGTGTGCACTTTTACTGGTCTAAAACTGAAAAATCCCTTTTGTTGATGTTTAAAATTTCTCGTTGGTCTGGAACTGAACCCTCTGTATCTGTATGTTTCCACAGATATTGAGCCATGTCTCTACCAGCATTTGCACAATTTGGCAAACAATCTTCTACTACTGTCGCACACGTCTAAATTACATTCTTCCTTACACAACTCTACTGCCCCAACTCCTCCACCTTTTCTCTCTATCTCCAACAATCATTAGGAAATGAAATCGAGCGATGATTTGTTTATAGAAGAGAGAAAAATAAATATATAAACCCACTTGGCAATTTTAAAAATGTGTAGTGAATCACATGGAAAAAGCTTTTTCTGAGTTTTGGAAAAAGCTTTTTCTGAGTTTTAGCATTATGATATTATATAGGGATGATTTCTAATTGGTGTTTGAATTTTGACAGTTTTTCTATTTCAGTATTTTTACTTTATATTTTATCAATTAACTGTCAACACAATCCTTTTCTTTTGTTCAATTTACTGTATTTGGATAGAATATTTTGCTGGAAAATTAAAATAGACAATTATACTCAATAAATAAATAGCACACGGTAAACGTTCATTGAATTTATCTCTCTTTTTTCATTTTTGAACTTTTTATTGTCTTATATCTCTTCTTTTTTTTTAAAAAAAAAGAATCTCAAAAATTCCTTATGATTTTCTTTCTATTTCAATAAATAAATAGCACACGGTAAACGTTCATTGAATTTATCTCTCTTTTTTCATTTTTGAACTTTTTATTGTCTTATATCTCTTCTTTTTTTTTTAAAAAAAAGAATCTCAAAAATTCCTTATGATTTTCTTTCTATTTCAAATGAGTAAAAATGGGAGGGAATGAAATAAGATAGAGAAGTGACTATCTAGAGAATGAATGAAGTCTAAGAATGTGATAAAATAATTCATTTTGATTTGACGATAAGAAGTTTTGGATGAATGCATTTAATTGTAAAAAATTTGTTAGTTCAGATACTTGAAATAAAGTTAAGGCACTGAAATAGAAAAAAAAAAAAAAAATCACAATTTTGTAAGTATACCTATAAGAAACTCTTTTTTGGATGTTTGTGGTCCTTTCATCTATGGGCCTTACCACTACCAAACTAAATGAATTGAAGGAAGATTCTTGCCAACACTAAGTGTAGGAACTTGCTTCATGCACTCAACCAACGGCTGAATCATATATTTTAAAAAATTTATTGATATGACTTATTTTCCCTTCTTTCTTTTCAATGAAAAAAAAACCCCACTCATATCAGTTTTTCCCTACATGTTATTTCCATATTAACATGTTATATACACTAGGTGTAGGTAAGTATTTCTTATGCATTGATTTCTTGCAGTTTCAGACACACTCTAGAATTATCCTAAACATCCCAAATCCTCACCATCAGATATCCATGTTCACAACCACCCTAAAGCTAAGTAGCATAGAAACGAAAACAAGAAATGGATGTGATAAGAAATGGAAATGGGGAAATGGCATTTTTCAAAAATATTGGAAATGGGAATGTGTAAATATAAAAAATATTGAGCCATTTTTATATTAAAATTCCAATTTCGTATTTCTATTTTCAGGCATATAACCTACTATGGGACATACCTAACTATGAACAAAATCATTCAGTGTACATCTCAGCTCCAAATTATCTGAGACTGAAACGTCTTGTTTAAGCACAATGCACGTAAGACTTCACAAACCCCACTTCTCTTTTTCCATCATTTAGCAAACGCAAAAGCAGAAAAGAATAGATGAAAACAGCAAAAGCTCTGTAAGTATGGTGGGTTGTGTTTAATCCATAAAAGAAACTGAAAAAAAAGACCTGAATTTACAATAAAGAAAGCTTTGCATAGGTTAGATCTGACTTGCATCTGCCTTTGCACTAGTCTCTTTTGCGCGCTTTTGCTTCAATTTTTTGGTGCTTGTTCTTGATTCAAAAGCATAGGTTTCAATTTTTTTTTTTTCTTTTGATTTAAGCAGCAGATTGGAAGGAACACGTTTCAAATTTTGCAAAATTACAAAAACAGGATTGAAACCTTTTGAGCCTGTTTTCCAAACATTTCTGTTTCTGAAATGTTCCGGAAATGCAAAACAGAACCTCATCAACAATGTTTGCTGTGCTGCCTAGATCTTCAGTGAACTCCTCATTTTGCCCTTTTCTCTCCTCTTCCATGGATCATTGACATGACCCCCTTATGAGAAGAATTAGAACTGGGTTCGTCAAATTTTTAAAAGCATTAGGATCAGTATTTTCTCTTACAACTTGGTTTCTTGCTACTGAGCCAAGGCTCATTAAAGCTTCATTAGCATAGCTGGAGAGGAAAAAAGTAAAGAAAGAGGAAGAGTGGTGCGAGGGGGTGATGGGGGAGAAGGATTGAGAGGAGGGGTGGGGGGAAGGAAAAGGATAATAAAAGTTATTTCAAAATTATTTTTTATTCTAATCAGCATTAAAAGTTTTATTTCTCTATTCAATTTTGACCATTTGGATAAATTTGCAACTTGAAAATTCAAATTAGGCTAAAGATGACAAAATTAAAAGGATTGGATAATTAAAAATTTATAAAAATTGGGTTCTTTTGGTCATTTGGCCTTTTTGTATCTCATAATATTAAATATCTGTTCATCCTCTTTCCTTTACCTTTCTATATCAGGGAAAGGCAGTTTGTGAAAGCTGGATTTTTTGGTCATTTGGCATTCTTATATCTCATAATGTTGTCAAATTTCTCTTCATCCTCTTTTTTTTCTAATTTATTTCTTTCTTTATTTGGGGATGGGCGGTAGGCCAAAATGGGGATGATGGAAGATTTTGAAGCCTCTTTGCAAGTTTTACGGGGATTTGACACAGACATTTCCGTTGAAGTGAATGAAATCAAGGTATGGATTATAGAGAATGAAACTTCTGTCTCTCTCCTTCCTTTTTTTTTTTTTTTTTTTTTTTTTTTGTTTTTTTTTTTTTTTTTTTTTTTAATTATTTCATTTAAATCAACTTTGACTCTTAGACAAATAGCAATTTTTTCACCCAAAGTAGTGGTGAAAAAAGATTCGATTGTTACAAAGGGACATGTCATATTCATCTTAAACCCTCTAAACCAGTCAGCAAAACATTCATGGATGTTTATTTTGCAAGAAGATCTGTATTTTTTTTTTTTTTTTTTTTTTTTTTAATTATTTCATTTAAATCAACTTTGACTCTTAGACAAATAGAATTTTTCAACCAAAGTAGGTGAAAAAAGATTCGATTGTTACAAAAGGACATGTTTCATATTCATCTTAAACCCTCTAAACCAAGTCAGCAACATTTCATGGATGTTTATTTTGCAGAGATCTGTATCATCATCAAGCAAAAGAGCAACAATTCGATTTGCAGAACTGAAGCGAAGAAGATATTGGTTCCCTTTGATGGTAGACCGGTTTGTTTTGGAATTCTGATTGGTTTTCTCATATTTTGTTATTTTTGAATCTTAGAACTCCCAGGGTTGATAGTAATTTATGTTGTAGGTAGGAATTGGATTACTTGTGCTCCAGCAGCTAAGTGGTATCAATGGGATTTTGTTCTATGCCAGTAACATTTTTCGAAGTGCTGGTATGACCTGCTTTTTTTCACTTTGGTATCTCATTTTATATGAAAACCACGAGAACTTGCTACTCTGGCTTATCTGCTCCTTGGATTTAGAAAGTTTTTTGAGCACCTATGTATGACAATATACAACCTGTTAGACATAATTTTAGAAATGCATAGAAGCAGTACGTTTAATAATTTGTTGTTTGCAAGGTTTTTTCATTCTCATTCTTATAATCTCCCATGTGAAGGTAATCATTTCAATGGTTGGTTTGCCATGTTGGACTATTCCGTTTGGCATCCCATGTAATCAATGATAATGTTAAAATATAAGATTGTGCGTATTAGATCACTATATCACTAGAATAAAATATTACAACTGGGAAAGTTCCTAATTTGTTGCTATTCAATGTTCTCCCTGCAAGTGGAAAGTTTCAGAATATAAAGATTACAAATTGCTCTTAATTTTGTTATAAATATTGTAGCTTCTGCAATTTTTATTGTAGCAAATGATGATGATGTTTGATAAGTGACTATAACTTTGACAGGGATCTCCTCAAGTAATGCTGCTACATTTGGGCTTGGTCTTATTCAGGTAGGATATGAGGCGGTACACTTTGAAGATATGGTTCTTCTTTGACCTTGGCATTAAGTTAAGAGTTGCTATAGCCTTAAGGTTCAATAAAGGGGGAAACTATTTTCAGAGAATGGAAATATTGTGGATTCTGCCCAATTCATTAAATATGATCTTTCTGTAGGTTCTTGCAACTGGGGTGACCACATGGTTGGTGGACAAAGCTGGTCGCCGGATTCTTCTTATCGTGAGTATCTTTTTTCAAATTTGGCGATTTAATGGAAAGAAAACATCTCTTTTGGGAATGATCAAAGGTGAATACCACAGATGTAGTCCTTAAACTTGGTATGTTTTACAAATAGGTTCTAAATTTTCGCATAATGAAGTCAACAAACATATTCTGTTCTAAAATTTGATGCAGTTCAGTCCTAGAACTTTTGAATTTTTTTTTTCCTTTTCTTTTTTTCCACTCCTTTTCTTTTCCATTTGAAAAGAGAAAGAAATAATATACTAAATTATAGGTATTAGATATTTAATTCAACAAATGATAACAAGAATTTTCCTAAGAATTATTAAAAATATTCTAACAAATTTTTGTATTTAATTATCTCCTAGTCCCAATTTTTACTTATATTTCAACTTAGATTATTCAAGATACAATAACTTTTTTATTTTTATTTGCTTCTTTTACTCAATTGAATGTATGATGAATTTTAGATTGTTATTGGTTTTTTTTTTTTAAAATCTTATGAATCTAACTTGGAAATTTGTTTTAATATTTTGAGTAAGTGTACAACTTATGGTATATGTTAAAAGCTGTAGATTCAAAGATAATTGACGAACTTGAAATGTTTTGATTTGTTTAAAAGTTCTTTTGGAAAGAAAATTAATTAAATCACTTGGTGCAGGTATCTACATCTGGAATGACTGTTAGCTTGTTGCTAGTTTCAGTTGCCTTTTATGTAGAGGTTTGTGATGTCACAAAAGCCATATATAATAATTTTTTATATAGCCTTAAATAAATGGGGGAAAAAATAGAAGCTTCAACTTTAGCGCTTCTTGTAAGTTTATCATGGACTTACTATTGCAAATTTATATATTACCTTTTCAATTTTTGCAATTCTATCAACAATCCATTTCCAAGTGAAATTAAGCCTGAATTTATTGAGGTGGCAGGTCTTAATTTGTTTGTTTTATCACATAACATGTGAAAAAGTTGATTTAATAAGACGTTTTTCAAAAAAAGCATTAATTTTAGGAAAAAGAAATGCTCAATTTTGGAGTCAGTAACATAAACTAATAAAAAAATAACAGATTTACAGCTGCCACCTTTGCAATTTAGGTTGAATTTTGCCTGAAATCAATTGGTGGTAGAATTGCAAAAATTACAAGGTGTGGCATAAAATTGCCAAAATTAAAGTTTGCAATAAAGTTACAAAAAAAGCACTAAAGTTGCAACATTTTTCTTTTTCTTTTTCTTCTTTTTTTTCTTTTGGCTAAGCCTTAGTTCTAAATAATTGTTGATTTTCCATCATTGCGGCTTTGTTTTTTGGGCAATTTCTGATGCCTTTTTATCCCTCTTCTGTATTTTTGATACCAGGATATTGTTTCAAAAGATTCCCATTTATATAGCATTATGGGAATACTGTCACTTGTGGGGCTTGTGGTATGATTTACTCTATATTTTGTGCATGCACATGCAGGTGCCTCTATTTGTGTTCTTAATGTATACTAAGAATTTTTCATTCTATTTGATGAACTGACTTTGTGTAGGCCATGGTAATTTTCTTCTCTCTTGGACTTGGAGCTATTCCTTGGATTATAATGTCGGAGGTATAAAATTTCTCTTTCTTAATCATAATTTCATAAGCATACAAAGCACTTAGTTTTTTCTGAGGTATATGGCTTGTTATGCTAAACTATTTGATACGTACAGTTGAGAGTTACTTCTTTCGGTTTTTTATTTTCATGCTGTACTATGACTCTGGAATCTAAACTAACCAAAAATTCTTGAAAATCCAAAATCTGCTGCAAAATCCTACTGTGTGTTGTGTTGGAAAAAGTTCTACTTAACCAAAAATTGAAATTAATTTGGGAAGGAGAAATACTCTGTGGAACACCCTCAGGTAAATATGAGAATGAAATGGATGTTAGACCTCACATGGACCATGCTAGTGGCATCATATAGGTTTATGAGTTCACCAATTGGTGATTGGAGTTTGTTGTAAGATGCACCCACAAAGTGAAGAACTCAAAATAGTTGCTTACAGTAATTCAGCTGCATTCTCGTTAGACCAGAGAAAGCAAGCTGAAGGTCCCACTTTGGAAGTTTTAGAGTGATGATCGCAGTTACTCTCCACTTAGGGTATTTTCTTTCTCCAATAAAGAGCTCCCAACTCAAGATATATGAATAAGATGTACACATGCTCTGGATCTGGGCAAATTTGTCTGAGTTAAATTACATTTACCAACTAGTCTGAAATTAGACCTGAACTTTAATTATTTGAACTTGAAGTCCTAAACTTTGAAGAACTATATGACATTAAAGAATCTGCTTTCCTGGGTATTGCTTCTGAACCTATTTTGTGCTGGAAAAACAAAATCAATAGTTTGGGTTCAAACCATTTCATAAACTTTAACGTAATAAATAAAATTGAATAAATGGCTGAGTTCAAACATAGTTGTTAAAGGTGTGCCTTATGCTCAAGTTTGAACTGGCACTTCAATTAGTGTCAAGCAGCAGACCTAGCAGAGGTTCATGCCTAATCACATAAGCATGGACCTTATTCCAAGTTCATGGCACCATGGAGGCGTAACTCTTTTATTCTCTGGATTCACCATTACATATAATTGAATATAGTTAATTGCCATAACGTGCTCCATTTTTGTCAAATCTACATTTCAGATTCTCCCTGTGAATATTAAGGGTCTGGCTGGTAGTGTAGCGACCTTGGCAAATTGGCTAATGTCCTGGTTGGTCACAATGACTGCAAACTTGCTGTTGAGTTGGAGCAGTGGAGGTCTCTCTTCTCTCTCTCTCTCTCTCTCTCTCTCTCTCTCTCTCCAATGCATGCAATGAACTATTTGCATTTTTTATTCAATATAAATTTTCAGTGTACCTTGTATTCATGTTATTCATTTGAATTATTTTGGATTCGACATATATATGAAAGAGGATGTGTACATGCAGATGCATTGAATGATCTCCGTGTTATTCAATGTCTAATCATAAATATAACTTGTAGTGTCCATATATTTCCCTGGGAACATTGAATAATTCATCCATAAACAGCGGCCAAATAAAAAAATTCACCCTTGAGTCTTACAATTTTTTATAACTTAAGGGCAGAATAAATCACGTATTTGGCCCATAAACAGCATATGCAAGTATGTTATACATGCACACCGAGTGTTTGCTTTGTTGTCTAATTAACCAAACTACTTTGCTCTCACAGGGACATTTACCATTTACGCAGTGGTGACTGCTTTTACAGTTGTTTTTGTGTCTCTCTGGCTTCCTGAAACCAAAGGAAGAACTCTGGAAGAAATACAATCATCCTTCAGATGAAAGTTATTGCTCAAAGCTCATGTTATCTGCTTTCAACTGAATGATGTTTTGTTTACTAAATATAACTGTATATTATAAGTTATTTCCTTTCTATACACTTGTTCATATTTTTGATCAGGCTCTATTTGGATAAGTGTTTGTTTGAAATAAGGGTGGTTTTGGATTTATATTTCATGTGTAAATTCACTACCTACGTTCATTTCAAATTTTAGTGTATTTAATATGTCATGTATGGAATGTAATCTTTTTTTTTTTTTTTTTTTTTCTCCAAAATTAGCTCAAAATGTTTTATCTGCCTTTCAACTGAATGAATGTTTTTGTTTACTAAATATAACTTGTATTATTAATAAGTTTATTTCCCTTTCTATAAACACTTGGGTTTCATATTTTTGAAATCAGGCTCTCTATAGGATAAGTGTTTTGTTTGAAATAAGGGGTTGGTTTTGGATTTTATATTTCCATGTGTAAAATTCCACTTACCTTACGTTCAATTTCCAAATTTTAGTGTATTTAATAAATGTCATGTTATGGAATGTAATCTTTTTTTTTTTTTTTTTTTTGTGTAAAATTTTTTGGATTGTTTTTCAAATTTTTATTTGGCAAACATTGTTGGCTTTTTCAACCCCCCCTCTACTAAACTTAGTACTTCGTTTTATTTTCATTTTGTACTATAAAACAATTACATAATTCTGATTTATTCAGATTTACAAATTTTTGCATATTATTTTGATGAATGGAAAAGAATGGTAATATGAGACATTGGGGTTAAATTCCAAATTGAAAGGGGACACGAGAGGAAAAAGATAGTCCCTATAATTTGTTTTTCCAAATGAAATTATAATTTATATATTATAATTTTTTTAAATCTCATTTGTCATTTTAATTAGTTTTCTTCCCAAAATGTGGTTAGAAATTTATTTATAATAGAACCTTCAATATTTTTTTTTTTTTTTTTTTTTTTGTGTAAAATTTATTTGATTGTTTTCAATTTTATTTGCAACATTGTTGGCTTTTTCACCCCTCTCTAAACTTAGTACTCGTTTATTTTCATTTTGTACTATAAAACAATTAAAATTCTGATATCAGATTTTACAAATTTTTGCATATATTGATGATGGAAAGATGGTAAATATGAGACATTGGGTTAAAATTCAATTGAAGGGGACACTGAGAAGGAAAAGATAGTCATATAATTGTTCAAAATGATATATATATATATATATATATTTTTAAATCTCATTTGTCATTTTAATTAGTTTCTCAAAATGTGGTAGAATTTATTTATATAGACCTTAATATTTTGCTTTCAGCAATGGATGGCAAGAAAAATAAATTATGCATAAAGCAGTAACATTATATGAGGTGGGTAGACTGAAAGATATTGCAAATCAGAATGTCAGTTTCCATCGTGTGGAGACTTGAGGAATTGCTTGAGAAGGCGATTGTAAACGCAGGGTCGTTCCAGGTGAACCAAGTGACCTGCCTTCTTTATGCCCTCCACTGTTGCATTCTCACCCAATTGCCTGTTATCGAAGTGTATAAGCTATTTCAGTTAATTCAATAATATAGAATAAAAATTCAATTTGAATTTTTTTTAATTTTTTATTCTATATATTTTTTATTTATTTGTTTAATAATAAATACAGTATATTCATGAATGAAATTATAGATATTATAATTATAAGTATTGGTAGGTAGGCATACTCTTTCATGTTCTGTGCAAGTTCCAACTTGAAGATTTGATCATTTTCACCCCACAGCAAATGTATTCTCTGCAAGATATATAAATAGAGTTAAACATGCATTTAATGACCCGCCATACATCAAATATAAAAACCATGAAAAGAACTATAAATCATTAATTAAGTGTGGTCTGATTTGTTTTTCGGTTATACAGAGAGTCAAACGTCTCTATTCGAGTCTTCTCGATCACAAGAATTTTCACTAATTTAGTGAGTAAATAAAAGGTTATTCTTACTGTATATCTCATAATGTTATTTCGATCTATTAGACATCCGTATGAATTTTTTTGAAAAAAAAAAAAAACTAATAGCAAAACCATTAGCTACAGACTGGAGTACCTGTTGGAATGTAGGGATGGTGGTGTCTTTGTTGCTGATGACTAATCCATCTAGAAGTTCAGCTCTTTCTTTTCTGTTGGTAAACATGACCTGTATCAATGCAATTACTGTAAGCCAACAAAACTAATAAATTGCTCAACTACTATGGTATGTCATGTTTTGTTTTTCAGTTTCTAGCTGAGTTAAATTATATTTTGTTAGTTGTATCAAACTATTTCAGTTCTATAAACAATTTGACCTGTTTTAATTTTTCTTATATGGAATTTTTTTGTGTAAATCACCGGTATTCAGACACTATAATCAAGGACCGCCTAATCCAGTTCGGAGCTTAGTCACAGTTAAGGTGTCCGGATCCTATAACTAGAGACTTCCTAATCTCGTGGAGTTTAGTCGCAGTTAAGACTGTTTGCCCCTCCTTACAAATATGTTCAGTGAGAATCGAACCCGAGAGCTCTTTCCACGTATCAAGTCTGTGGTAGTTTTACATGGAAATTTGATTTAAGTCCAAGGCATCCAATTTAACCTCTTTCTCTAGTGCAGTTTTTTGTGGCGTAGGAGGAATGATCTTCTGCCAGGTATAGCTAGGGGTATGCAAAACATCCTAACGGATCAAACCGATCCATTTCATTTGATTTAGTCAGTCTATTTGAGGGGATTCAATTTTGTCGGTTTAGTCATTTTAAACCGGAATTGTTAATGGTTCTACTTGATTTTATAAAAAATAATAAGTTAAAGCCAATTCAAAATGATCAAAGCCGATCAAAACTGGCCAAACCGACTGATTTGATTTAAGTTAATTCTGATCATGCGAATTTTATTTGGGTTCCGGTCAGAAAATTCGGTTTAATATTTTTTTAGCCTTGGTCCCTAACTATAGCCGTTATTTAATTGTTAAAACTATGAAATATTTAATAACATCGAATTTATTTATTTGTTTTCTTTCTTAACTCATACGAAAGAAATTTACAGAGAGATCACAAACTTAAAACTTTATCAAAATTGAGAAATGTATAAATTACTACAGTGCGGACTAAATTTATATTCTGTAAATCTTATACTTTTTTTTTCTTTGAGAAATATTGTGTTAATTTGATCACATTAATTTGACATTATTATTTTACATATATTTTTAATGTGTTTTATTTAATATTTTCTTTCTATTATTAATTAAATATTTAAAGCTATTTTAGAGCATAGAAATTGTTTAAAATAAATAATGTTTTGTGATAGGTGCTACTACTTAAAGCTCTACCTAACGCCATGTATTTGTCTTCCCATGAGACTCGCATGCTCGTAATCATGCAACTACTCTTTTGTTTATTTTTTTTTTTACTTAGTAAATGTCAAAATACAAATTAAAAGGCTTCATTTATTGAAAAAATTATTCTTTTAATTTTTGTAGTAAACTTTTAGAAAGGATATTCAAATATATTAATGAGGATATTTTAATAATTTAATATATAGTCTTTTAATTTTATTTTTATAGCACTACGTCATTCTTTTATTTATTTTTCCATTAAAAAATATTATATTGTTGTTCTCTCTAATTAATGCAGATACGACTTATTTAATATATAAAAACACCTAAAAAGAGTGAATTGCTATATAGTTTCTCTATTATGTTAAAAACAGACTTTTACTTTTAAAATTTAATAATATATAATCTATGGATCTTATTTTTATTGTACTACTTGATCCGTTTTCTAATGAAATATTTAATAGAAGAAGTAAATAGTTTAACAAAAATAAAATCAATAAATTTCATGATTAATTAAATTTTAAAAATAAAGCTCTTAGATTAGTGTATTTGAGTACTATCTCTATTTTCATAATATTTGTCACATTTGAAATTTTACATCATTTAAAAAAACTATTAAATTTGTCTAATTTGTAATATATTATTGAGTAAATTGACTATGTTATCCTTAATTTAATATTAATTTTGTAAAAATAATTAAATTGAAGTAATAATTATTGGTCATATATAAAGGGTAGTAAACATGGAAAAAAAGATTTTTTAATCGTTAAAACTGACGAGTATTATGAAATAGATGTAGTATAATGAATGAATTAAAAAATAATACACTCAATCTATGCAACACAAGACACGCTAATCAGTAAAATAAATAAATAAATAAATAAATAAATAACTAGAAATAGGAAAATTGCAAAACAAACCTCAAGAAAGTCTTTATGAAGGCGATCAGGGAACCAGAGTTTCTTGTGAGCAGCAACTTTAAGTAGTGCTTTAAGACCTTTAACAGAATTAGGCAACAAAAGCTCTGAGGAAGATTTGAACCCAAGCCCACTTAGTGTTGCTTCACTGATCGAGTCCGTCATAGCCAAGATGGACCCAGAAACAACCATGGCTTCTACGAACTCAGGATACAACTCAGCCATCTTAAATGCTACCATCCCTCCATAGCTAAAACCCACCACTGTACATTTCTCCACTCCTAACTTCCTTAAACCCTTCACCAATGTTTCTGCTTGAAACTTCGGTGACCGGTCCGTTTTATCGGTGATGGACCCACCAAAGAATAGAAGGTCAGGGACATAAACAGAGTATTTTTTTGTCAAAGCACCAACTTGAAATTGCCATGTAACAATACCTTCAGCTGCGAAACCGTGGATTAAAACTACAACAGGTTTGTTTGGTTTAGATAACGAAACCTGGGTCTTGTTTATTTTTTGACCTTTTTTTGCTTTCTCAACGGTTTCAACTGGCACCCAGAAGTTCATTACTGTGCCTTGCTCAACCTCTAGTGCATGTGGTTTCACACCAGCCATTTTCATTAGCCCTTGCAATACGGGCTTTTGAGCTGCTACAAGGTTCACCATCTCTCTCTCTCTCTCTCTCTGTTATTCTGTGTTATGTATGGAGAGAGTAGAGTAAATGCTTTAAATGGCGAGAAAGGTTTTAAACTATAGAGTAAAAGATGGTTTGGTGTTGGGTTGTTATCTGTTACCATTAAAGGTTGACATTTATATGTAATGGTCCTAATGGATTGTATAATTTATGGCTCGTAATCCCGCATATATATATTTTGGTGTTGGGTTTTGTTATCTTGTTACCATTAAAAGGTTGACCCATTTATATGTAATGGTCCCCTACATGGATTGTATAATTTAATGGCTTCGTTAATCCCGCAAATATAATATATAATATAATATATTTATAGTAAATATATATATATAATAATTATATATATATATTATAAGTCGGCTTTTCCCGTAGGATGGGGTCCCCCTCGAATTCCTGAATTTTTTTTATATATTGTCGGCTTTCGTAGGATGGGTCCTCGAATTCTGAATTTTTTTTTTAAACCATCGTATCCAGACTTCACCGCTCTCGCTAGGTGTGTTTAGCGAGGATCGAATGCGATAGTTCTTCTTACATGTCCAGCCTACATTACCAATTGAGCGACAACCCGTCAATTGAGTTCTGAATTCTTTAATGGTAAAATGTGTTTATTTATTTTGTCGATCTAGTTATATTTATAGAAATTAATTTACAATATTAATAATATTTATTTTCTTCTCAAAATAATTTTACAAAATTAATTTTATTTAGTTTCGATTTTTACTTATTCTAAAAGAAATAATATTGATCTCATTGTCTTCGAATCTAATTATTGACGATTTGTTTAAGAAGCCAAAAACTCAACGCAAATCACTCTTTTGATTAAATGACTTTTACTAATGGAAGTTAACTCAATACAGGTAGACTGAGTCTTTGACGAAATTTACCTGTAATATTAGAGATATTAAAATTAAAATTAAAATATATCAAATTGTAATAATCTATTTTAATCATCCATAATGATTAATTTAAATTAAAATTCAAAATTTTATGAGAATTGTAATTATTAAAAGATAAATGAAAATATATTCTTCGTGGCTTAACAACCCTTAATTTGTTGATGTGACAAAGTTTTCTTGCACGTAATCTATTTGTTTAAGGCGTTGATTTGCTATTATTTTTTAACTCTTAGCGTACATGGTTGTTTGATTTTGATCAACTGTACTGCCTACTCTGCCACCGCATATCGCTTGTAGACTTTCAATCTCTGACACTAAAAATGTGATGTATGCATCTTCCGACAATTCAATTAAAATAAACTTTTTGGTTGTTTACCTGTAAGTTTATATGTTTCCAAAATTTAGAATTGCCTACATTAAAATCCGGTCCAAAATGTCTAAATACATGTACAAACTAAAACACTCAATACTTTTTATACGTCAACTAAAACTTGAAATCCTTCAAATCTTTTTACACGAGGTGGCCACCGGTGGTCACCCTTTTTGCTTCTTTTGTTTGTTTTTTTTTTTTTTTTTAAAACAATCCTTCTGTCATCTCTTTTCCTTTTTTGTTTGTTTTTTTTAAATAATTCTCATATTTATATCTTTTATATAAATCTGAGTTATTATTATCGAAACATTGAGATTATTGAGATTTTATTATTAGATCTAATTTGAGTTATTATTATTACCATTATGATAATTTTGTTCAGGATATTTTATTATTTGAACAGTTATACAAAAAGAAGTACAGACTTATTCTCTAAAAGAAGGAAGAAATTTGAAGGTGATCATATTGAATTTGTAGAAAAACTATGGAGTCCAACAATCGCCAAGAATAACCACCAAACGACGCAAGTGTTCGCCTATGACACAAATATTATGCTTTATCAAGTCGATCTATCGATCTATTCAAGATAACACTACAATAAAAATTACCTTTAGCGACATTTTTAATATGACATTTTTTATAAATCTTGTTTTAAATAAATGAAGCAACACTTTCAATAATGTTAGTGTATGTTTTTGCCTATTATTACATTTACTTGATGATTATATAATTGTAGTTAAATAGAATAATTATTATAATATGTTTTTTTATAAATTTAGCAACATTTATCTAATTGTTATTTAATTTTAATCTATTGTGACATTTATACTAACATTTAATTCTATTATTGATCTAGAATGTTGTATAGCATCATTTAATTTTACATATCATAAAATGTTACAATAATGATATGGAATATATATTAGCCATCATTTAATTTTACATATCCATATAAATGTTACAATAATGATATGGACTATATATATATATATAGTATATATATATATATAATATATATATATAATATATATATATATATATTATTGAATTTGATATAAATTATATTTTTAATTAATTAAATTGGGATATCAAATTATTATTTTAATTTAATTAAAAATTTGGGATATCTATATTTTTTTAATTTATATAATGATTAGAAGCAACGTGCAATATTTTAAAGTGATTATTTAAAGAAAAAAATAATTATTTAAATTATGAAATAATTGTTTTTTGAGTTCACATATGAAATTAAGATAAATTTTTTTAAAAATAAAATTATAAAGCAATATTCTCGTGCATATATGTCATTAATTTTTTTTGAACTATTTTGATTTATTTTTTCATTTAGATGAACTTTTAGCGGTTAAAATTTGAAAATTTTAAAACAATAAATTTTATTTAAACTAAAATAAAATCTTACATTAATGAAATAATTAAAAAAAGGAAAACCAGTAATGTAGACATGGTAATATTTGTTCTTTTAAGTATTCTATATTTATTAATAAATAAAATCATTGTTTGCTAAAACTTGTCTTTATAATAAAATTATATAATTATATATTATATAATTAAACACTAGAAGAGGTAGGTGTGTTGCACAGTTCACTCTGTCTTGGAATCCTTATATTTATATATTATCGCGTGAAGATAGTAGTTGTCTTATATATTTTAGTTTAGTGGTTAGTGTGTTTCTTTTAATTCTTAAAGGGTTTGATTTCAAAACTAAATTGTTACATTTTTTTTTTCTTTTGCTCCATTGATTTCGGATGGAACTCAATATAGGAAAATTATTGGTGCTCTACAATAAGCATGGCCATATTATAGTTACCAGAATTAGAATCGGTGATTCGGAATCGGTTCGAATCGAAACCGAAACTGATGGGAATCAGAACCGATCCAAACCGGAGGTATACGATTCGGTTTCGGTTCTAATATTTTGGGGACCGCAAATCAGCGGTTTCAAAAATCAGTTGGAACAGGATGGAACCGCTGGTTTTTCGGCCGGTTCAAATCGGCGATTCTAGCCGTTACAAACTGTCAGCAGATTTTTTTTTTTTTAATTTTTTTGTGAAATCTCTTAGTTTCAAGGGTATTTGTAGAACCATGATTTTTTGGATTTATTATAAATAACTCATTCCATTCTATTTACAATTTCCTCACACAAAAATCTCTACTCTCTCTACTGCACTCTACTCTATATTATTCTTCTTTACTCTACAATCTCTCTAATTTTCATTCACAATTTATTGTGAATTAATTTATTCAAATTCCAATCTCTAATTATTCTCAGACAATTTATTGTTGAATTAAATTTTTATTCAAAATTACCAATCTCTAATTTATTCTCCTCTAATTTTTTTTGTTTCAATTTTCCAAATATGATTAATTAATTTTTCATATAATGGGCAATGGGAGGAAAACTGCAAATTCCTGTTAAAGGGCCAAGGGAAAAGATTGGAGAAAACAATATTCATCGGAGAAACACAATATTCATCTATCCCTACAAACGACATCTTCGATTTCACTCCCAACCAATTTAATTTTGAGGGATATCCAAATGAAAATATGAAAATCCAACTCAAGAATATGAATTTAATAATAAGGAATTACAATAAGAGGAAGAGAAAGAGCAAGAGCAAAGTACACAACTTCTTCAAAGAGTAAGATAAAGTTCTGACATATTCGCCATTCATTTCACGATAAAATTCAAAGGTAACAAAATATTCAATGTTTTTGCAATTATTGTGGAAAATCTTATAAATTTAAACAATCGGGCGGCTATGGATCATTTTAGAAGCATTTGGAGACAAAACATCCAACAAAAACAACAAAAATAGAGTTGAAATTCGGTCCTCAAACACAAATTCTGGGGTTACGCATCTTCTAACATTTCTTTATTTCAATATTTTAGAAAAAAAAAAAACAAAGAAAAAGAAAAAAAAATTTAGCAAAACATGAATTTCTATGGAACAATTTTAATCTTTTTAGTTTTTGGTTTGAAAAAAGGTAGGTTTAATCAATATTGTCCAATTTAATCAATATTGTCAAAAAGCTTTAAATCCTTCTGCTAAAAGAGTGCCAAGAAATACTGTAAAACGAACTATTATTTCTTTATATAAAATAGGAAAAAAGAGCTAGAACTGTTATTTTCTGAAATGAAAATTCGTGTTTCAATTTATTGTGATATTTGGAGTGATCATTGGCAAATGCATTCTTATATGGGCATTGCATGTCATTGGATTAATAACGATTGGAAAATTCAAAAAAGAATTATTGCATTTCGTGCTTTTGATGATAAACATACTGCAAATAATATTTATAGAATAATTGTTTCAATTTTGTTTCAATTTTAGGATGAATATAAGTTTGACAAAAAAATTTTTTTTTTAATTCCAATTTGATAATGCTCCTTGCCTACACACTAAATCAATTATTGAACTTAAAAATATTCGTGAACCAAATATTGGTGAAAAATTTTTTCAGATAAGATGTGCTTGCCATGTTTTAAATTTATGTGTACAAGATAGTTTAAAATTTCTTGAATCTTATATTTCTCCAATTAGAAAAGCTATTTCATATTTATGGGGACATCCCCAAGTGATGAAAAGTTAGACTAAATTTTGTAAGAAAAATAATAAAAGACTAAAACGTTTTCCAAGGGATATTCCAACTCATTGGAATTCAACATATAAATTATTAAACGAATCTTTTTCGTATAAAGAATTATTGTGCATTTTTGTTACTAATAATATTGAAGAAATTAATTTATATCCATAAAATTGGGATATTCATGCAAAAATTTTAGATATTTTAAAAATTTTTAATGATGCTACCTATA